GTCACGCGGCAAAGTCTCTAAAACGGAACTTCCTTCAAGAGTGAGGCAGGAAGTCTCATCAGGGACAACACATCAAGCAGCCCTGCCATGAGGTTTCGCAATCCCAGCCCCTCAAAACGCCTTACATGATTGCCCCGCAAGAACGTTTGCGGGTTCGGGATCGTGGGGCTCATCCTGCTTTCTAGCCCCTTTTCGCGCGTTTGAAACCCTTCAGAAACCACATACCTGGCAAAAACTTTTGAAACAGTATGCAGACGAGTCAGGTGGCTTTGAACAACCATAGAGTTTTAGAAACATGTGTAGCGCACGACTAGGTTCCGAAAACATAGTTTCTGAACGCCGGTATCAGAAACTGTTAGTTGACCTTGTTTTCTCATTTCTCTCTTTCTTCTCTAGACCGCTTCGTTCGTTTTTCTTAAAGCTTATGATGTTCTCTTTTTCTTTCTAGAGACCTTTCTTCATTCTTTTGTGTTTTCTTTAGAGCTTTCTTTCTGTATTCTGGACACTTTCTTTTGCTCTTTGTTAAACTCATGTTTTTTCTCTCGTGCTTTTCTTTACGCACGCTGTCCTCGTTCTAATGTTAGCCGTTCTTCCTCTTGTCGTTTTTCTTGAGACATACTTTCCTTGTTTTGTTCGTTGCGTTTTGTTCTTTTGTTTTGTTGCTTGACCTTTCTCCCCTTGCTTGGGCCCACGTACCTTGCTTTCAGTTTTCCTTTAGACCTGTTTTTCTTGCATTTTTCCTTAGGCCCTATGCCCTTTATCGATAGTTTCTTTAGACTGCCTTCTTTCATAAAGACCTTTCTCCCCTGTTGTCGTTTCTTCTTTCCGCCTTTGATCCGTTTTTCGATAGACCGCGTGTCGTTTTCTATTTCTCTAGACCGGTTAAACGTGCGCCCTTCTTTATCGGTTGTTTTAGGGTACCCCCCCACCGGGGTGTGGGATGGTTTGGGACGGGATAACCACGTTGTTACGGCAGTTTGGAAGGTGCTTGCGGTTTGCCATTCGCGTCTGGAAATCGAAAAGGAAACGCCCGGCACTAGCACGGTACATCTTGCGACGCGTTGTTCCGTTTTTTGTTCGCCTTTGTTTTCTCCATTTTTAGACATGTGTCCTTATCGTTTTCTTTAGTTGACCTTTCTTCGCGTTTCTGTGTTTTTAATGTAAGACATGCATTTTGGTTCTGGTTTTGTTCGCGTTTGCTGTCACATTGAAGCAGAGAGAAGCCAGCTTTCACACCAGGGCCGCCCAGTTTTGTACCAGGTTTGGTTTGATGAAATTTCTGAAGAAGAGGAAGTTGAGGAAAGGTACTGAACATCTTTCAGAGGCCGAGACATTCTTCAAAAAATGTTTTTTCAGTTATCAGTTACTTCAAGTTACTTGAATTAAAAACATATACCATGTCTAGTAGTAACAAGTGCATCGCTTCTAGTAACAAGTGCCTTACTAGTAGTAACAAGAAGCTAGTAGTAACATATACCATGTCTCTCCAATACGTTCCGAACACCGCGAACACCGTTTCGAACACCGTTCCGCCAGGTGATGAGTGCTGAGTTGACCCAGCTCATCGATTGCATGCTCCAGGCGGGAGACGTTAGCGCGATTTCGCCCCTTTAAAAGAAAAATATAAGAACAAACCAATTAAAGAAAAAAAAAAGGGGGAAGAAAGGATAAGAAGAAACAACAACCAGGTATGTTTTTGGGTATGTTTTTCTGGCAAGTTGGATGCCTCCAATCGGCTCTCCTTGGGCGAAGCCTGCTTCAGCGGCGAGGCGCAAATCAGTGACTGTCACGTCAAAAAGATTAAATAAATTTAAATAAAATGTAAAAAACGAAAAAGCAAACCTAAGAAATCGACAGAACAAGTCTAAGAAATGAATTCTTTAAGATAGCCTTAATAACTTCAAGGACCAAAGGAGCGTGGAAACAGGAGAAAAATAGCATAAGCTGAAAAAATGTTTGTAGTTTCGGAAGTTGTTCTTGAGGCTCGTAGAAGCGTTTGGGACGAGCTTTGGATCCAATCCTTTCAAGGAGCAAAAAAGACGATTTCGAATTGTCGCAAATCAGGTTTGTCCATGCCAGAGATGGCAAGAGTGAAAGTAGATTTGAAAAACTGCGAAGGCATAAAGGGAAGGCAATGTGCAAGGCACTGCCATAAATATCCATAAACATATGTGATGTGCCATGTCGACAAGAAGCTGTGCCCGCTATGCGTTTTGAGGACCCTAGCTGAACGGTCTGACCCTAAAGGAAGAGTGGGTGTGAAAAGAAATGCATGTTGCCCTTGCCACATGCGAAAACAATGCACAGAATGTGTTTGATTTTTTGGAATATGCATCCAATCCTGTTAAGCAAACTGATAGCCACGAACCCAATATAGCAATGGCCTCCAACCTACTAGCGATGGCTTGCATATAGTAGCGATGGCTTCCAACCTACTAGCGATGGCCTCTAGCGATGGCTAGCAATGGCCTCCACCCCAGTAGCAATGGCCTCCAACCTACTAGCGATGGCTAGCGATGGCCTCCAACCTCATAGTGACGGCTTCCAACCTACTAACGATGGCAACCTACTAGTGATTGCCTCCAACCATGAGCAAAGGCATCTAGAAACACCAGACACCGAGATGCACCAGATGTTTCCGAGATGACGGAACTTCCTTTACGCCGACCCGTTCGCCCCGCCTGCGACGAACTGAATGAAACGACGCCAACGCCGCGGAAGCGGAGCACAGCGGGGTAGACGCGAACGGAGCGACGCCTCGTACCGCCTCGTACCCGAGTGCTCTTGTACCTACTAGGAACAAGTGCCTTACTGGTAGTAACAATAAGCTATTAGGAAAAAAAAGCTACTAGGAACAAGTGCATCGCTAGTAGTAACAAGTGCCTTACTG